TTCAATCGGGGAAACGTAAGACTCGAGTACGCCGGGACTCGGGTTTGCCGACGTTTTTTAACGAGCGCGCCATGGATTCTGACGGTCCAGTTTTCGTGGAGTGTCAACAGCGGAAGTTCGCGTCAAATTTCAAATTGGGTCCCGTAATTTTCATGGTGGCCCCGTCAGGCCAATCCGAGTCCCCCGAACCCGAGTTTAACGTCTCCCCGACTCAAGAGCCTTGCGCGGGAAGCCCGTCGTTGGTCGGCCAGCCTGGAGGGAGTTATGTCTGAGCCACCCCGAGACACTAGTTATTGGCTTAGTGGCCGCGGGGCCAGCCTTTCAGCTCGGGCCGCCTGGGCGACGGCTGTGCATCGTCTCGGCGGGCCCTGGCTGAGAATCAGAAAGCGGGGATCGGGGCGGAGGGCTCGGGGGCGGACTGGATGATGTTTACCCTGCAGGTTTTTCGCGCCCGCGGCCATGCCCGTTTGGCCTGCGGTGTATTCGATCGCTTGAGCTCCCCTCGGAGCCGCATTCCGTTGCGTTGCAGGTGTGCTTCTTTCTATCTTGGCACCCCGGGTGCAAGTTCCGAAAGATCGAAAGGCCTAACATTATACGGGCGGGATTAGTGACCAGCTGAGAAGAATTTGGTTGGCCAAATTCCCATCCTATAAAAATGCACTTCACTATCAGACCCTGGGGGGGCACGAGGACCGCAACCTCGCTGAGCGTCAGAGTGTGTTTCAGACGACGGAGGGGCCTGGTCGGGTCCTAGGGGAGGGTTCTGGACCTTAAGTGGTTCTTGTTGTGTAAGTGGATCTACCACTCGCAAGCAGGTTGTGGATTCTTTCGGTTTCGAAGGCGGCGATCTCCCCTGGGTGAAGGCTCGGCGGAATGAGTCGGCCAGAGCTTCGTCGCCGTTCAGTGGCGAACTGCGCTCTGGAGCCACAGACCTCGGCTGAGTCCGTGGACCACGTCTCCTCCCTCATCGTGTTTGTTCTCCTTCTCCTTGTCCTCCTCATCCTCCTCGTGATCGCCCGCGTCGGCCCCTCATCCCCTGGAAGCCGCCCCCGCGCACCTACGCCGCTTGGCCCGAGCCGCCGTTGAGCGCGGCAGCCTCGAGTCCCCCAGCAACAAAAAAGTTAGAAAGCCGCCGCGCCGAGTTGTTCGCGTCCAATGGCCGCGAACCTGGTGGTGCCCTCGGACATCGCGGTCCTGGAGGAGCGGCTCCGGAGCTGAGGTGGAGTGAGGACGAAGGCGGAGGAGGAGGAGGAGGAGGAGGAGGAGGAGGAGGAGGAGGAGGAGGAGGAGGCTCGCGCTGGAGGGCAAGGCAAGGCGATCGGGCGTCTTTCGCGGGGCCAGGGCAGGATAGAACGGCGGCCGCGCAGAAGTCTGTGTTGGGGAAACCAAAGAGCACCGATACAGCTACTTCCCGGACCTCTCCCGGGGTGCGTTCGGACCCGGATCCCGCGGGGCATCCAGCGGTGGCGACGAGGGCCGCCCAGGAGGCCCAGGAAGGGGTCAACGGGCGGAGGGTAGCGGTGTGGGTGCCTTTTCCTCCTCTGACGTGTGCCCGTGGTCGGGTGGCCCACAAGGCCGTGGGCCGTGGCGACCAGCCGCAGTCCTCGGTCCGGCCGCAGTCCCTCGCGGCGAGGAGTGGGCACCCCACTGCGAGCCCGCAGCTCGCCGTGGGGCGGCGGGCCTGCTGGGCGAGGGCGGAGCAGGAGGGGCGGGCCAGCGAAGAGCAGAGCCGTGCGAGCCATGCGGAGCCCGTTGAACACGTAGCATCCAAGCATACGCAGTGCAATATTTAGATTTACACGCTTCAGTGAATCTGCTTTCTTATGGATGTTACCCATTCTCTCTTTCTCTCTCTCTCTCTCTCTCGCGCGCTGTCTCTCTCTCTCTCTCTCTCTCTTTTCCCTCCCTCTCTCGGCTCTTTCTCTATGTCGATCTCTCTCTCTCTCTCTCTTTCTGCCTCTCTCGTGCTTGCCCGCCTCCACATTTGACTGCCCCTCTCTTTCCTGGACCTCGTCCTCATGGGTAGCCTCGCCCGCTCCCAGCCAGGAGAAACACACGATCGGGAGGCGCAAGCTGCGAGTCCTCGAGTGGACGGGGCTCCTGGGCATGAGCCCCATGTTCCACCTGCACTACAGGCCGCGTGGGGCAGGTTTGCGGCAGCGGACTGGGCCAAGCGCGCCGCCATCCGACCCCACTTCATCCCGAGGAGATCACACAGTGACCTCCGATGCGCATCTACCCTCCTCCTCCTCCTCCTCCTCCTCCTCCCCTCCTCCTCCTCTCTCTCCTCCTCCTCCTTCCTCCTCCTCCTCCTCCTCCGCTTCATTTCCTCCTCCTCCTCCCTCCCCTGTTCCCCCCTCCTCTTTCCTTTTGTCCTTCCTCGTCCTCCTCCTCCTCCTCCTCTCCTCCTACTCCTCCTCCTGCTGCTCCTCCTCCTCATCCTCCCTCCTCCTCCTCACCTCCTCCTCCCTCCTCTCTCCTCCTCCTCCTCCTCCTCTGCCTCCTCCTCTCTCCTTATTCCCTCTTCCTCCTCCTCCTCCTCCTCTCCTCTCCCTCCTCCTCCTCCTCCTCCTCCTCCTCCTCCTCCTCCTCTTCCTTCTCCCTTCGACATCCGACGTCTTGATTCTTCAAACAACGGGCACTTTGCAAGTTACGACCCCCTCCCCAGTGCCAGCTTCTCATCCCGAGCCGCTTGTGGACGGCCCCAAGGGCCCAGCGAGGGCCCCCAGAGGCCGAACACACGGCCCCCAACAAAGATCCCGTCCAGGGTCACATCCCGAGCCGTCCGTGGCCGGCCCCCGGGGCCCAGCCAGGGCCCCTGGAGGCCGAACACAAACGGCCCAATGGCCCGTCCAGGGTGCGCTTCTCGCTCCGAGCCGTCTGTCGCTGGGCCCCACGGGGCCCAGCGAGAGGGCCCCCCGGAGGCCGAACAGAAGCGGCCCCAGACGTGGCCCGTCGTGCTCTCGTTGCTCCGCGGGGCGCGAGCAGGCCCTGCAGGCCCCGTCCGCCCGCCCGCCCCCCCGGCGCCCAACGGGGCGGTGCCGGCTCCGGCGAGGGGCTCTGGCCCGTCCTCCGGGCACCTCGGCCGGGGCGCCTCGACCCGGTTCGCCCCCCTCGTCTCGGGGGCAACGATCGGGGGGAGGCAGGCACACAGCCGGCCCGTATCATAAGGCTGCGCGATAAGGATGCAAGGGCCTTGGACGCGCCCATTTCGAAGCTTTTCGAGCGGGGCGGGGCCAACGAAAGTGGCGAAGGATGGGCCAAGGAGGCAAGGATGCCAGGGTACCCTTGGGAAGGTTGCCCATCCTTGCTATGCTGGTTGACTGTAGGGGGAAGATCCCCTCGAGCCTGGAAGAAATAACGACGGCAGGTTTATCGCCGTGATCGGCCTCTAGGGGCCCTTGCCGGGCCTCGGGACCGTCAAACAACGATTCAGGATGAAAAATGGATCCCGAGGAATGGGTCGAGACTTTTGGGGGTCGGCGTCAGTGGGGGAAGCATCGACCCCCCATCGCCCATTCATCGCCGATAGGGGATCGATGGCCCCACCCCGCCCAGGAAGATGCGGATTCACTATCGGGGGCCTATCGCCGATCTGTCGGCGATGTATCGCCGAGCCCAGGTCGATGCATCCCCCCTTCTGCCAGCCCCTCCTGTCGTTGCCCCTCGTTGTCGGCGGCGAGCGAGGGGAGGAAGTGCGAAGGGGCGGGCCGTCTGAGATGGCCCGGAGGCCCCCCCAAAAAGCCTCCCGAGGAGGCTCCGGTGCCCTCCCCGCAGACGCGGAACGGCTGCTCGGCAGACGCGAGGGCTTCCGAGACGTCCCTCGGCCTCGGGACGGCCTGCTCGCTCTCGCTGCCTCCGCTCCGCTCGCCGGCCGCCAGCCGTGGCCTCCGAAGCCTGGAGCCCCGGGCCGCCCGCTGGGAGCTGCAGGGCTCGGGGCGCAGCGCAAACGGGGGGCATAATTCAGGAGGAGCAGAAACACACAGACACAATGAACCGTCGATCCCCAGGAAAATATGGGAAATATGGGAAGTGGGGGGGAAGACAAAAACCCAGAAAATATAGGAAAATATGGGGAATAGTTTTATTTGTGTGTATTTGTTTGTGTGTTTGTGGGCCCCTTCAATAATGCAGACGGGGGTCAGCCCGAGCGGCGGATCCTGCAGCATCCTGCAGGGCCAGGGTTGTCAAGCAGTGGCGAAGCGTCTTGGCTCGCCTAGAGCCCAACCAAACAATGTTCAGAGAACCTTTTTTTCTGCGGCTTCCACGAAGTGTTCCTAGAACATTTCTGGCGGAGTCTGGCTTGCTTTATCACATCGGGTTTATGTCCTGAGAACATTGGTTTTGCTCTTAGAACATTGTTGGGTTCTAAGAACATGTCGTGGTACATATGAATGCCGGGACGGTCGGTCCCTGCTCAAGGTTGTGCACTGGCCCGGGCCAGCGCGCAGGAGCCTGCCGGATCCTGCAGGGTCCTGGAAAGCCCGGCTGGCCGGGGCCTGCATTGACCCTGGCATCGCTCGGACGTGTGCATCTTGCCTCGGCGGGGGTCCTGGAGGAGCCTCCCGGATGATCCCGCGAGGAAAAAAAAACGGCCGAGACCAAGAAGGGCACCGCACGCGGCGGGAACAGAGCCATACTTTGTTGCAAGAGCGTTCTCACAGAGCAGTGGGGGCATCGTTCACTCACCGAGTCCGTGGGGCATGTTTGTGCTCCTGCTGTCCACAAGGGGGCAGGATGTGTCCGCTGGAGGTGGTGCGAAGAGACTTCGGAGTGAGGCTTCGCGTGTGCCCTTTCCTTCCCTTTCCCCTCCTCTCCAAAATTGCGCTAAAAAAACAACAAATTGGCACTGGGGAGTGGACGTAAGCCATGGCGAGTGACCCGGGTCAGCAAGTAGATCCCCGAGCATCAGGAGGAGAAAAAACACACAGACACAATTAGTCGTCGAGGACGTGGGGGGAAGACGAAAACCCCTAAAATATATGACAATAGTGGGAATCTTGTGATTTGTGTGTGTTTTTTTGTGTGTCCTTGGGCCCCTTCAGAGCAGCGGGCGCCGGGCGCAGAGAAAACGCGGCGCGCTCTCCAGCAAGATGGACCCGGGCGACAAGCGCGCGGTCACCGCCTCGCCGCCGCCGCTGGCGGCTCGCCTTCTGAAGTGGAGGGGGGCCAGGTTTCCAGGGGGGGGGGGGAGGAGGGCTCTAGCCCAGACTCGGGAGGGGAATAGAACACAGACCAATGAGTCGTCGACTACCGAAACATATGCGATATTTTATTTTATATATATATAATATATATATATATATATTATTTATGTATAGGGGAGTGGTGGGGGGGACGAGAGCCCCGAACATTTGGGAAAGCATGGGGGAATCCTGGGATTTGTGTGTGTGTTTATTTGTGTGCCCCTGGGCCCCTTGACAGACCTCCTCGCGCTGAGACAACGAAAAATCACGACTGCAGGGTTTTCACTACTTTCGGCCTCTCGGGGCCCTCGCCGGGCCCCGGGACCGTCCACAAAACCAGTCGGGACGAGAAAAGCCAGTCCCAGGGAAGGAGTCCAGACAGCCTGGGGGTCGAGGTTGTGATAAAATCAGGACGACGGGGGTCTGGGGGTGGCCCTGAAGTCCAGGCGTTGCACTCATGGTCGCGCCAGGCGTGTTTTCGCCCGCTTCTGCTGGATCCGGCCCCGAGGATGCCCCCAGCTCGACCCAGCCCCAGATCGAGAGCCATCACAGTTCGATCCGGCCCGGAGAGGCCGCAGCAGGACGGGGTCAAGGGCTCCCGCCGCGATCGTTCACGACATTGCATCTCCGCCTCGTCGTCGGGCCTCAGGGGGGGGCGCCTCGACCCGTGCAATCGGCCATGAATCGCCGGTAGGCGCCTGATGGCCCCAGCCTGCCCAGGAGCCCAGGAGCGTGCTGCTTCGCTCTCGGGGGCCGGCTGCCGATCTGCAGTCGCGCCGCTGAAGAAGGAACCCCCCTCTGCGGTGTGGACGGGCTCAGTGCTCCTTCATTGTTCTGCGGCTTGTCTCAACCAGGTTGTCCCCAGGTTTCCCAAGGGAGATCGGAGTTCAACTTGTGGAGAGGAAGGGGCCTCGTTCCTGACTCAGGGTTCCGGATGACAGCGTTTCACTTGCAGGCCGACCTTGCCAGATCGAGGGTACCCAAGATCGGTGGGGTCCCCCCACCAGGGGAAGAAGGTCCCGGCCTCGGTGATGGTGGTGATATTGGAGTAGGGGATCGATGGGGACAAAATCTTCTGAGGTGAGGGAATTCTGTATTCGATCCCCTACTCGAAGTACCAGGGCTTCCTAGGTTTCCGACAGGCTACAGTCGCGTTTGATTAGTAGGTCGGCCCTGCCCAGTCAAGGACACTCTCGTGTCCTGCGTTTCGCGACCCGCACCCTCTGCATCCCTGTGGCAGTGTGGCCCTCGGAAGGGTCTTGTGCCCTCTTTCGCGTGTCCTCGCCAGCGATGTGTCGCCGATGCCAGGTCGGCGCGTTCCACCCTGAGCCGGTCCTCCCTACAACGTCGGCCTTGAGCTGCCGCCGCGGGGCGCTGAGGGCCCGACGACGATGACGACGACGTCGACGACGATGGCGACGACGACGGCGGCGGCGGCGTCGACGACGACGGCGGCGACGTTCAGTGGGCGAGACGAGAAGTGCGCGGAGGCCGTGTGTGCCATCGTGGGGCGATCGGCAGTTGCGAGGAGGGCGACTCGTGGCGTACTTGTCCCGATGCGCAGCAGGGGCGAGTCTGCAGATGGGCCCAGTGGTGCTTTCGGATGAGGAGACTGCGCTCGGTCGAGGGACTGCGTGGGCAGCGTACATGTGGAACTTCAATCGGGGAAAAACACACAGACACAATGAAGCGTCGACTCCCAGGAAAATAGGCGAAAATATGGGAAGTGGGGGGGAGAGACGAAAATCCAAAAAATATGCAAAGATACGGGGAATCCTGGGAGTTGTGTGTATTTATTTGTGTGTCCTGATTGAACTAAGATTCGAGCAAGTGTTCTACAGAAGCAGCAGGTTTCGAGGAGGGCATAATAAGATGAGAAGCACAAGGCGAGGGGAGGGCAGGGGCACGAGGAGGAGGAGGAGGACGAGGAGGAGGGGGGGCGGGGGACACGACGGCGAGGAGGAACTGAAGGGTGGAGAATAACGAGGGCGAGGAAATGAGGATGGAGGTAAGGGGAGGGAGGGAGGCGCCGCGCGTGGGTGGCCTGTGCCCCAGGATCAAGAGGGACTAGGACAGGAGCAGACAGAGAACGTCTTTGACATCCACGGCCAAGGGGCCCGTCGGAGCGGGCCAAAAAGGCACCCGGGACACTACGGGAACCCGATGCCGTCCAGATCCACCGTGACCCCGCTCCTCCTCGGGTGGAGTCCCCTGCTGAATCTGGACCGTTTCTCTCTTCTGCGGGAGTGGTAGGAGGACCAACGCTTGTCGGCGGAGCCTCCGGAAGCCTGCGAAGGGGCAGAGGGCCGTGCCTGACAGGGGTCTCCCAGCCCTCGCAGTTGACCGCCAGATGCGTAGAAGAAACAAGCAGGCAGAGAACGTGGCATAGGAGGAGGAGGAGGAGGAGGAGGAGGAGGAGGAGGAGGAGGAGGAGGAGGAGGAGGACAATTTGGAGAATCTCCGTTGCCATTGTGGCTCAAGTCCGCAGCGGGACATCTCAGGGACTTTCGGTTATGTTTGGCGCGGGACGTTCGCAGCCCGAACCTCTGACATCTGATACCGCGTTGAGGTTTCGTCCCTCACCGCGGTGGTTCTTTTCTCACTGCACATCTTGGCCGCGAGGTGGCGGCTGGCAAAGCATGGCTCTCTTGGATATCGGAGACGTGCGACGACGCCGTGGCTCAAAAGGAAGGCGCCTCGGGCTCGATGAAGGAGCAGTGGCCTTTCTGGCACCGCACACGCCCGTCCGATGCACACCTTGGGCGCCGCTCTTTTGGTGTCTTTTCGGGTCTGTTGGGGGCCTCTTGGGGCTTCTTGGGCGCTTCTTGGAGCCTCTTGGGGTCTCCTGGGGGCCTCTTGGGCCAAAACGCTCGAATCGTCGGTTCCTTGTCCCCGTCTTGGGCGCCGACTTGGGGCGTTTTTGGGCGCAGTGGTGCAAACGGTGTCGCTCGCCATGTCCTGTGAAGTGCCTCTCTCTCTCTCTCTCTTTCTCTTGTGCTGCGGCTGCGCCGTGGTGAGCCCATCACGCCCCTGGCCGCGCCGCTCCCGGCGCGCTCTTGGCGTGCCGGGAGAGGCCGCGGTGTCGGAGGCCGATTGGGCGCGACTGAACATGTCGGACGCGTGCGGTTGTTCTCTCGGCGAGGATCCTCGAGAAGCATTTGGAGCTGTTTTGCGAGAGTGACACGCACGAAGAAGAGAAGGAGGAGGAGGAGGAGGAGGGTGGAGGAGGGAGGAGGAGGGGAGGAGGGGTAGGAGGAGGAGGAGGAGGAGGAGGAGGATGGAGGAGGAGGAGGAGGAGGTGGAGGAGGAGGAGGAGGGGAGGGGTGAGGGGGAGGGGGAGGGGAGGAGGAGGTGGGAGGAGGAGGGGGAGGAGAGGAGGAGGAGGGAGGTAGGAGGAGGAGGGAAAGGAGGGGAAGGAGGGGGATAGTGAAAGAAAGGAGGAGGAGGGGGGAGGGGAGCAGGTGGTGGAGTGAGGAGGAGGAGGAGGAGGAGGAGGAGGAGGGGAGGAGGAGGTGGAGGAGGAGGGAGGAGGATATGGGTGGGGGGAGAAGGGGAGGGGGAGGAGGAGGAGGAGGAGGAGGAGGGAGGAGGAGGAGGAGGAGGAGGAGGAGGGGTAGGAGGACGAGAGAGGAGGAGGAGGAGGAGGTGGATGAGGAGGAGGGAGGGGGCGTCGAGTGACGGCGGCCGAGAGATTGCCCGGGGAATGGGCTTGCCGAGCGGCTGGCGAGTTGTGGGGGCGCCCAAAGCGCCGGGGGGAGGGGGGGTCGGGGGGGGGGAGGGGGTGGCAGCGAGGGGCTGCCGAGAGAGGGGCCCGATGAGGGTGGCCGTTAGGGCCCGATGGGGGACCCTCATTTCTCCCCGCCCCGTCTCTCGCCCTTCCACTAACGTCAAGTCGGGCCTGTCCCTCTGCAGGAGGATATATGGGGACCATGTTTCGACTTTATTTGGGTATTTGTGTACAAATGTTTTGTATATGTTTGATGTTTCGCCCAACATCCCCCTGTAGGAAGACATGCCCGACTTAACGTTAGGGCCCATGAGGGCCCCTTTCTCCCCGCCCCATTCCTCGCCCCCCCACTGATTTCAAGGGAGTGAAAACCACCCGGACCCGGCCGTTGGCGTTTACTGAACGGCCGTGGGCTTTTCATTACTAAACGGCCCTGCCCTGTTCGTTTTTTTGGGGGGGGCGTTCACCAGACGGCTTCGCGTGCCGGGGTAATCATCAACTATGAGGGTGGATGTTCTGCTCTCTGTAATTCGCACCCTGGAGAGGCCGTGCCTCGGAGGTCGGCAAGTCGATGTCGGCGAAGTCCAGTAATTGTTTTTGTCGGGGGCTCGAGCGGGCGCCGCGGCCGCAGCTTCTGCGGCTCGGCTCCCGCAGGGTCTGGACCTGGGCCGTCTTCGCTACAGCGGTCACCGAGCGCGTTCCGCTGCTCGCAAAGTGCCTGCTCTCAAACGTCCGACCAAAAAACATGTCTTCCCATAGTCGAAGAAGAACCAACGCCAGAAACAAACTTGTGGCGCTCCGCGCGGATGTCTTGGGTCTGCGCCGGGGCCCCCTGGCGGCGCCTCCAGCGCCGCCCCTGGCGCGCTCGGCGCGCCTGGGAGGGGGCTCGTAGCCCAGATCCAGGAGAGCCGCGCGGACATCCGAAAGTTTATATCTATGCTGTGCCGTCTTTGTTCTATACAGCATGGAATGGATCGTAAGTCCCCCGCGGCGGATCCGGGCCTTTTGCGAGCAGGTGCTCTGCGAGTCGTGGAGCGCGCTCGTCCAATAGGGTATAAAGGGGGGGTGGCTGGAGGGGGGGAGGCTCCCGCGCCGGCCCCGGGAAGTCCACGCTGGCCTCCGAGCGGCGATGGTTCTTCAAGGCTCTTCGCGTAGGGTGCTGTCGCTTGCTTCTGTCCTCCTCTCTCTGCTCCTCCTCCTCCTCCTCCTCCTCCTCCTCCTCCTCCTCCTTCTCCTCCTCCTCCTCCTCCTCCTCCTCCTCCTCCTCCTCCTCCTCCTCCTCCTCCTCCTCTTTCTCCCCCGGCGAGCAGGAGCTAGCTGACAGATGTCATTTATCATCTTGAGGACCACAAACGAAGGCCACAGCGTTGCCTGGAGAGCTAGGTGACCCGCAGTTCAAGTTGGTAGTCTCGGCAAGGAAAACACCAGGTCGAGGAGTGGAAGGTGATCCAATACCGAGAAGCTGGAGGAGGGTATCCATGGCCATACAGGACATCATTCGCGCCCGCAAGGGAATTTGGGATTTGGATTCGCATTTTTCTCGCAGCGCATGCGCACGCTGGGAAAGTTGAAGAATCTCAACATAGGAAGTTATTGGTTTATCTTCTGGTATAGACATGTGCACGAATGGGGTTGGGAAGATGACTGGCTTCGGGATTGCACTTGTTTGGCAGCGCAAGAAGCCACCAAGGTGGAACAACACTACTCAAAGCAACGCGTTCGAGACTGGCGACAGGCTGTCGCAAAGTCCATCGAGCAGGAGGACGCCAAGGCACACAGATGTAGCAGGTTACCAACAAGGTGGACACAAGCTGAGGTACACCCCACTACAGGCATCAAGTCCCATGCGACGACGCTCGACACGGACCTTCAGCAATGGCTCCAGATCTGGAATCTTGATCCTGTTGCAGACCCGTTTGGCGCAGGGCTGTTGGCGCGCTCGAGAGGCTGATCGACATATCCGCGAAAAGGCGATTTTTGGAGGCAGTACCAGGCAGCCACGGCACGGCAGGGCTTCCGGGGCCGCCTATTCTCGAGCCAGCCTTGGTTGATTTCGAAACTACGACAAAGGGGAGGTTCCAAGGGCGCAGGTCTGCTACGCACGTGGCCGGTTGGAGGTTTCTTCAACCAGGCGAGGCTGCATGCGGCGCAGGAGACGGAGACTACTATATGTACTCTGTGTGGAGTGGAAGAAGGTACTGGTTTCTGATTTGCATCGATGCTGTCGCTGCGATGGACGTCTCATTGAGTGTCAAGATTGGAGCGGGTACGAAAAGAAGCTCACGCAGTGGGGTCGCGCTGAATATGGGCAAGTCCACCCGTGCACGATGATGGTGCGCAAAGGTCGATTTCCCGATCCCCTCTTCCAGCTACCTGACGCTGTGGAGCACCACGCCGTTCGATGGCATATGTGCACAGTATCTGGTGTCATCAGTGGAGATGTTTGTGTCGACGGCAGCTGAATATTTCCACGCTGTGAGATGAGAGCTCGAGGTGATGACCGACGCAGTTGGCAATGTTAGTGTAGCAGCCGCGGGACCTGTCCTGTTCCCGCGGCAGACATCTGGGGCAACAGAGTTATATACAGCGAGGCAAGCAGTTCTTCGCGAGTCTCAAGGACGGCTTCGCCTCAGCACGGGCTTCAAGGAGCTCTACATCGGCTGGCAGAATGGTTTCCCCAATTGCACGCGCTCCGATCACCAGTATGCGGAGCTGCGGTTGCAACGCTGGAGAGCAATCGAGGACATCGGGGCTGACGAGATTGCGATTGAGTGGATACCGCTGCATCTGTGTCAGACACTTGCTGTGGAGCTGCAGATCCCTCTGGCCTACTGGCACGGCAACAAGCAGGTGGACTTCCACGCGAAGTGTGGAGCCGCCATGTCATCGAGATGTACATCAAGAACGGGATATCCAAATGCGCGAGCATGCGGCAGCGCTGACACTGAAAACTGCGCCGCGCGTCCTGCGCCGCTGCTCGAGAGGAAAATGGGCGGATGTCCCAAGGCATGAGTTCGTGGAGAGGCCTATTGGTATGACATTGAGTGGTGACAACGGCCACGTGGTGCGTAGGTTCAGGGGCAGATGGATTTGCGCGAGGTGCGGACAGAACCGTGCTCGTCGGTGCGATCTTGTGAACTTCAGTTTTGGAGGGCCCCCTTAGGGGGGGTCCAAGTGGCTCATGAATCGCACCGTCTCTGGAAGACGGGCCCGGTGGTTTGGTGAGTGGGTTGCGCTGCACGGTGTGTCGGTAGAGCGTTTATGATAGCCAGACCTTGTTTGGGCAGACCTCCCCTGGGTTCTCCGAGGCACTTAGAGAGGAAGTACCTTATCCAGGGGAACGGCCCGTCAGGCGAGAAGGTCGGAAACGGATTTCACAAACCCGTGCCCATCTCGCCTCGCAGCTGATTCCGTATTGGCGTTTTTGATGTTCGTTTCTGGTTTGGTGCCTCGTTCTCGGAGCCCTTCGTCGTCATCGGAACCCTCGGAACCCTCCTCGTCCTCCTCCTCTTCCTCCTCCTCCTCCTCCTCCACATTTCTCCTCCTCTCCCTCATCCTCCTCCTCCTCTTCCTATCATCCTCCTTTCTTCCTCCTCTCCTCCCCCCTCCTCCTCCTCCTCCTCCTCCTCCTCCTCCTCCTCCTCCTCCTCCTCCTCCTCCTCCTCCTCCTCCTCCTCCTCCTCCTCCTCCTCCTCACCCCCCCAGCGTTGATACGCTTCAGGGGCTAATCCGTATCGTTCCATGCTCTACTCTTGAAGCCCACGGTGGACAGAGTTCTATTCTTGAGTTGATCAGCAGGGAAAAGGATCAAGAATATTCGCGTCCACCGCCCGCCAATTGTAAGTCGAGCGTGTCCCTCTGCAGGAGGAACATGCAAAAATAGTCAAAAGATAGTAGCCTGGGGATTTTTCTTCCATGTTTTTGACTATGGTTGAGCCTTTGTGGTCTATTTTTGTTTTTCATCCAAAATCCCCCTGTCGGGGGAAACGCCCGACTTGACGCCAATTCCAGTTCTCGCCCGAAGAGACGCGCACGGCGCCAAGATTGGGCGACAGACTCCCAGCAAATGTGCGTTGTGTAGGCACTCCTGCGCTCCATCTTCCTCCCTCCCATCGCAGAGTGGACTCAGGCTGGCTGTTTTGAGCCCGTATTCCTTATCCACAGCAGGAGGGCAGAGATACTTGGAAAACTGCACGAGACCAGCCAAGGACAGCCCAAAAGCAGCCCCAAAGCCGCCCACGAGGGCCGACGAGGGTTCCGAGAAGGGCCCACAAGGGGTCCAAGACGAAGGGAACGCGCCTAAAAGCGTAGTCGAAATCTGGATGTCGATAAGTACCCCGTACGAGTTCGGAAGTTGGCTTTCAGTCCAGGCGACCCCCGTCTTTTCCAAAATCAACACAAGCCGATGCTTCCGCAAAATTTTCGCAGTTTCGAGTCTGTTTGCGACGTTGGCCCCGAGAGGCGTTCTTGAGGGCCCCAGGCGCGAATTTTGGAGGCCCCAGGCGCGAATTATGGGCGGCAGAATGGCGAAGGCTTCTGAAGGGGGAAAAGGGGGGAGGCTAGAGCCTTGCAAGGAGCTCTTGCATTTAAGTCCCACACGCCCCTCAGCCCGGTGGGCGGGTGGAGTTGAGTGGCTCACGCCATTCCGCCGACCCCCTGGGGGACCTCGGCTCGGACCTGCCACGATCGTGGAAGGTATCTTGCCGGACGCATCATGCGGTCTCTCGGGAGGCTTGTCGGGGGCGTTTGGGTTCTTGTTGTGGCTTCTTGGGGGCCTCGTGGGGGCTTCTTGGAGGCAGCTTGTGGGCCTCGCGGGCCTCCGACCGGCTATGTTTATCATGCGGTTGTTTGTTCTTGTTTTTTGGGCAGTGGCCGCGCCTCTCCGCCCCGACCGCCGCCGCGGACGCCCCTCTGGCGGCGTCGTCATCGTCGGCGCCGCCAGCGACACCATTGGCGCCAACGCCGACGTGGCCGACGTCGGCGCTGGCCTCGTCGTTCGTCGTCGTTCGTCGTTCGTCTTCGTCGTTCGTCGCTGGCCTCGTCGTCCTTTGCCATTCGTCGCCGCCACCGCCGTCGTCACCGCTGTCGCCACCGCCACCGCCCTTGCGCGCGCCGAGGTCCTGTCCAAGAAGTTCGACAAGGACGACAAGTCGGAGGTGGGCATGATCCTAAAGAAGCGCCAGGAGTCGGTCCGGAAGGAGGCTGTCCGCGGGCCTCGCCGGGAAGGGGGTGGACCAGGGCGAGCACGCGGAGGGCAGGGGGGCGAGCAGGGAGGGGGCACTGAGCTACTGGCAGGCGAGGGCGTCCGCTGTTCGGCCGCTGCGGCTGGTGTGCGTCGCTGCACCGTTCTGGGCCGCTTTCGGTCCGTCGGCTTCGGTCCGCGTCGGTGTCGCCACTGGCAGGCGAGGGCGTCCGCTGTTCGGTCGCTTAGGCTGCTGTGCGTGTCGCTGCGCCTTCCTGGGCCGTTTTCGGTCCGTCGGTTTCGGTCCGCGTCGGCGTCGCCACTGGCAGGCGAGGGCGTCCGCTGTTCGATCGCTGCGGCTGCTTTGCGTCGCTGCGCCTTTTCTGTGCCGCTTTCGGTCCGTCGGCTTCGGTCGGTGTCGATGTCGCCACTGGCAGGCGAGGGCGTCCGCTGTTCGGTCGCTTCGGCTGCTGTGCGTCGCTGCGCCTTCCTGGGCAGCTGTCGGTCCGTCGGCTTCGGTCGGCGTCGGTGTCGCTACTGGCAGGCGGGGGCGTCCGCTGTTCGGTCGCTGCGGCTGCTGTGCTGTGCAGCGCCCTTCTGGTCCGTCGGCTTCGGTCGGCGTGTCGCTACTGGCAGGCGAGGGCGTCCTCTGTTCGGTCGCTTCGGCTGCTGTGCGTTGCTGCGCCCGCCTTCTCTGGGCAGCTTTCGGTCTGTCGGCTTCGGTCGGCGCCGGTGTCGCTACTGGCAGGCGAGGCCGTCCGCTGTTCGGTCGCTTCGGCTGCCGTGCGTCGCTGCGCCTTTTCTGGGCCGCTTTTGGTCTGTCGGCTTCGGTCGGCGTCGGTGTCGCTACTGGCAGGAGAAGTCGTCCGCTGTTCGGTCGCTGCGGCTGCTGTGCGTCGCTGCGCCGTTCTGGGCCGCTTTCGGTCCGTCGGCTTCGGTGGGCGTCGGTGTCGCTACTGGCAGGCGAGGGCGTCCGCTGTTCGATCGCTTCGGCTGCCGTGCGTCGCTGCGCCGTTTCTGGGTAGCTGTCGGTCCGTCGGCTTCGGTGGGCGTCGGTGTCGTTACTGACAGGAGAAGGCGTCCGCTGTTCGGTCGCTGCGGCTGCTGTGCGTCGCTGCGCCGTTCTGGGTTGCTTTCGGTCTGTCGACTTTGGTCGGCGTCGGTGTCGCTACTGGCAGGCGAGGGCGTCCGCTGTTCGATCGCTTCGGCTGCCGTGCGTCGCTGCGCCTTTTCTGGGCAGCTGTCCGTCCGTCGGCTTCGGTCGGCGTCGGTGTCGCTACTGGCAGGAGAAGGCGTCCGCTGTTCGGTTGCTGCGGCTGCTGTGCGTCGCTGCGCCTTTCTGGGCCGCTTTCGGTGCGTCGGCTTCGGTGGGCGTCGGTGTCGCTACTGGCAGGCGAGGGCGTCCGCTGTTCGGTCGCTTCGGCTGCTGTGCGTCGCTGCGCCTTTCTGGGCCGCTTTTGGTCTGTCGGCTTCGGTCGGCGTCGGTGTCGCTATTGCTTTGGTAGTTGTTTCGGGTTTCTCGTCGCCGAGGGCGCCCGTGGCAGGGGAGGCGGCGCTCACCGCTCCTGTGTCAGAAGCCTCGGGAGGGCAAAAAGGAGGAAGTCGGCGGAAGGAGAGGGACGAGCGGGGGAGTGGAAGGGAGGAAGAGCAGGGGAGGGAGGAGTGGAGGGGGAGGGGGAGGAGAAGAGGAGAAGGAGGAGGAGGAGGAGGAGGAGGGGGAGGGGGAGGAAAAGAGGAGAAGGAGGCGGAGGAGGAGCAGCAGGAGCAGGAGGAGGAGGAGGAGGAGGAGGAGGAGGAGGCGGGGGCGAGGCGAGGCGAGGCGAGGCGCGCCGTGTCCGGCCAGAGAGGCCGACCCGCACGGGGCAAGGCGCATGGGCCTCAGCCCTCACACGTCGCTCTTCTGCACGAGATCAGATTCAGATGCTTCCCATAGGGAAGCGAACTCTATACACCGACGCTTTCCCCGACCCTGCGCTGACATTCGCACAGGAACGCGGATTCTGGTGTATACGGGATTTGTGTGTATGCATGTTTCGCTGTTTACCTAGGGAAATGAAGGATAAGTATACACCACACCACCCCGACGTCGTCCCTGACCCTCAAAAAAGTCGTGGGATTGAAGAACAGCCCGCCACTGGTAATGTATATATATATATATATTCTCCAGTTTCCGATTCCAATCTCCTTCAGTAGGAGGAGGAAGAGGAGGAGGAGGAGGAGGAGGAGGAGGAGATAAGAGGGGAGAATAAGGGGACGGGGACAGTGGCTGGTGAGAGGGAGGGGGTGGGGATGGAGGAGGAGGAGGAGGAGGAGGAGGAGGAGGAGGAGGTGGAGAACGGGGAGGGTGGGAGGAGCGAGATGTAGCAGGAGGGATGTGGGAGGAGGTGGAGGAGGCGGAGGTGGTGGGGGCTATGGAGGTGGCAGGTGAAGGCAGTGAGAGCTACGAAAAACGCAAGGAGAACACGGAAGGAGAGGGGACGGCGGATCCCCCAGGTTTCCAGCCAACACCGTTTGCTTAGCGTGTCGCGCCGCCGGTTTTGGCCCACCACGCTCCTCCTCCTCGTCCTCCTCGTCCTCCTCCTCCTTCCTACGCATCAGCGTGTCAGGTGGTGGCGCACAACTTCATGTGGGCCGGCGCTGGCACCATGGCGGGTTGCACGTGGTGGTCTTTCCGACGCTACAACTACCAGTCCCGCCTGGTCCGCGGGGGCGAAGCTCAGAAGAGGACAGACAGACAGACATGCCATACGCCGGAGCGCGTTGGCAGAAAGAGCATGCAACGCCAGCCTGGTCTCTCCGCCTTGCGGGAGCGGCGGGGTGGCAGGACAGAACTGTCAGACTGCGTCGCGCGTGTCAGGAGGCGGAGGAGGAGGGGAAGGAAAGGAGGAATGAACAACGTCAATGACAAATCTGCACTAAGAGCTTGGCTCTGCAATGCACTGCGCCATGCTGTCTTCATCCGGAAAATGTGGAGCAACAGTGGCCAGGAGACTCTTCGCCCACTTATCTCTAGGCCTCCCAGCAGCCCGGACGCAAGCGTCTGTCGCTGGACGCACGGTGCCTGTCAGAAGGTACCCATACCGCTACCTTTCCTGCGTGGGTTTCCTGGGTTTCTTTTCTGGGTTTCCCCAGCAGCCCGAGGTGAAGGAACAGAGGTTCGCAGGCTCGAGGCTCGAGGTTTTCAGACGTTTTCGGACCTTTTCGTCGATTCCCGGGCGTTTTCCCGCCTCTGGCTGCGTTCCGGCAGCTGCGCCTCGCCGAGGGCATTTTCGGAGGTTGATAGACCTCCTACCTTGACACGTCGATTAGCGAATTGGCCGTTTTCGGTTCGCGAGAGGGCGTCGCGGCCGTCATTTTTGTGGGTCCACGTCCGTCGGTTTCGGTCCTAGGCCGTTTTCGCTGAGGGGAGGTGTACTAAAGGGAGGTTTGTCCACCGTCGAGTTGTGGGGTTGCCCAGATCGTCCTGGACGGCCGCGGAGACCCGAGCTATGTGACCCGAAGACCGAGGCTGGGGCCCGTTCTGATCCGATCGGTCCGTGCCGGTGTCGGCTCTGCTTTTCCCGATTCTCGGGTTGACCCCACAGGGGGTCCAGCGACAAGGGGGTGGTGCAATAGTTTTGTGGGGGTGCAATACATTTGGGGCGTGCAACACATTCCAGGGCGCAAAATGTACTGCTGGACGTTCGCGCGCACTACATTCGATGCAATGCACTGCAATATAGTTCTCCGGCGTAGTACATCTGCAATCCAATTGCCCCAAATCTATTGCACCACCCTTTTTCAGCTGGACCCCCTCTTGGGTCACCCAAGGATGCGATTCGCGGAGGTTCGACAGCCAAGGCGCTGAAGCAAGGAGCAGCTCGGGTTCGGAAGGGGCCCACGATTCCTCGGATTGTTTGATGGCTGTTCCTCTGGCATTAAGGCGGGCCTGTCCCTCTACAGGAGGAATAGTAAAGAATAGTACCAAAATAGTCTGGGGACGAGTTTACTTTTATTTTTGATCACTTTTGAATATTATTGGACTGCTTTTCATGTTACTCCAAAATCCGACTGTAGGGGGACATGCCCGACCTAACTCTAGCGCTCCGCGTTCTCGGGAGCCAGCAGCGGGGCGTCGTTCCTCATGTAGCGTCCCCTGGCCGCCTGCCTGCGCGTTCGTCGTCGTCGTCGTCGTCGTCGTCGTCGTCGTCGTCGTCGTCGTCGTCGTCGTCGTCGTCGTCGTCGTCGTCTGCTCGCTCCTCCCTTCTCTCTCTCCCTCGTTCTGACTGGGCGGCGCAGGCTGCCGGTAGCACGCGGCGCTATAGCAGCACCGCCGACGCATTCACAACACTGAGTTGTGGAACGTGCTCGCCGCCGGCCGCCCCCCCCCTGCTAAACCACCACCTTGGCATCGCTCGGCAGCGTGCATGCTTCCTCGGCGGGGACGAATCAATCGAGGAGTATCCCTTTGACTTTGACCCTCGATCCCAGGAGGCGCGCACGAGGCCGCACAGCAGCAGTGCACAGGGATGGGGCGTCCGAGCGCGCTGGCGAGCCGCCCGTTCGGCGCGGGGGGGTCCCAGCCCTGCCGGCCGAGGCGCACGAGGGCGGATGCGCAGGGGTCAAGCAGTGGCGAAGCGTCCCGGCTCGCCTATAGCCCCACCAAACAATGTTCTAAGAACTGTTTGTGGTTCCCACGAAATGTTCTTAGAACATGTCTGGCTGGGACTGTCTTGTTTTAGCACATCGGATTTATGTTCTAAGAACATATTTTTTGTTATTAGAACATTTGGGGGGTTCTAAGAACATGTCGTGGTATGACTATAGGAATGCCGGGACGGTCAGTCCCTGCTCAAAGGGGGAGGGCGAGGGGAAGGGCCCTGCAGGGCAGGCCCTCCGTCGACGACGCCTCGAGGAGGACCTGCAGCCGGGGCGTCGGGGTTCGAAGAAGAAAAGCTTTTGGCGCTCCGCGCCAAAACTTGCTTTCCAGCCTGTGCGTGCAGGGTGTCATTCCCTTCCCATCAGTTGGGAAGCTGGCAGTTTTCATCGTCGCGTGACTTCTCCGACGAAATCAAAAGTATTCTGGAAAAGAAACAAAAAACTTTTGCCGCTCCGCCCAACTCTCTCGAATCCGCGCTGGGCCCCCCCTGGCGGCGCCTCCGGCGCCGCCCCTGGCTTTTAGAGTTGGGTCGGGCATGTCCTCCTATATAGGCGGATTTTGGGCCAAAAAAAGAGCACTCGAAAAATTTGCCCGAAGTCAAAAATTGTCAAACATTCGTCCATGCACTGTTTTTTACCTAACAGCGAAGACTGATAGGTTTCTAGTTGACTCAAAAGAGCTCACAGATCACTCCACAGGGGGGTCCGGGCAGGTGTTGGGGAGTTGCCGGGCGGCAGGGTGCCGGGCTCGTTTTTCACCAACAGTCACACACTTCGTAGCTCTTCGATTCCCAGAACTCCATTCCCAGGCCACATTCTGGAGGGCCGAATGCAACAGTCACACACTTCGTGCTCTTCGAGTTCCCAGAACTCCATTCCCGGGCCACATTCTGGAGGGCCGGATGCAACAGTCACACACTTCGTGCTCTTCGAGTTCCCTGAATTCCATTCCCGGGCCACATTTTGGATGCCCGGAGCCAACTGTAGGCCACTTCGTGCTCTTCGAGTTCCCAGAACTCCATTCCCGGGCCACATTTTGAATGCCCGGAGCCAACTGTAGGCCACTTCGTGGTCTTCGACTTCCCAGAACTCCATTCCCGGGCCACATTTTGGATGCCCGGAGCCAACTGTAGGCCACTTCGTGGTCTTCGAGTTCCCAGAACTCCATTCCCGGGCCACATTTTGAATGCCCGGAGCCAACTGTAGGCCATTTCGTGGTGTTCGAGTTCCCAGAACTCCGTTCCTGGGCATGATTTTGAATGCCCGGAGCCAACTGTAGGCCATTTCGTGTTCTTCGAGTTCCCAGAACTCCATTCCCGGGCCACACTTTGAATGATGAGGCAGGCTGATGCTGAGGCTGAGGCAGGCTGAGGCTGAAGGCAGACTGAAGCTGAGGACGAGGCTGAAGGCAGACTGAGGCTGAGGCTGAAGCAGGCTGAGGCTGAGGCTGAGGCAGGCTGAGGCTGAGGCTGAGGCAGGCTGATGCTGAGGCAGGCTGAGGCTGAGGCTGAGGCTGAGGCTGATGCAGGCTGAGGCTGAGGCAGGCTGAGGCTGAGGCCGAGGCTGAAGGCAGACTGAGGCTGAGGCTGAAGCAGGCTGAGCTGAGGCTGAGGCAGGCTGAGGCTGAGGCTGAGGCAGGCTGATGCTGAGGCAGGCTGAGGCTGAGGCTGAGGCTGATGCAGGCTGAGGCTGAGGCAGGCTGAGGCTGAGGCCGAGGCTGAAGGCAGACTGAGGCTGAGGCTGAAGCAGGCTGAGGCTGAGGCTGAGGCTGAGGCAGGCTGTGGCTGAGGCTGAGGCAGGCTGATGCTGAGGCAGGCTGAGGCTGAGGCTGATGCAGGCTGAGGCTGAGGCAGGCCGAGGCCGAGGCCGAGGCTGAAGGCAGACTGAGGCTGAGGCTGAAGCAGGCTGAGGCTGAGGCTGAGGCAGGCTGAGGCTGAGGCTGAGGCCAGGCTGATGCTGAGGCAGGTTGAGGCTGAGGCTGAGGCTGATGCAGGCTGAGGCTGAGGCAGGCGGAGGCTGAGGCCAAGGCTGAAGGCAGACTGATGCTGAGGCTGAAGCAGGCTGAGGCTGAGGTGGGCCAGCAGGTATGGTGGCTGAGCTGAGCAGGCTGTCTGAGGGCTGAGTGAGGCATTTGAGGCTGAGGCTGCTGAGGCTGATGCAGGCTTACTGTTTTCATGATTCTTTCGTATTACTTTTCAGTTCCCTTCTCTTATTTGACTTCTGCTTTCGTGCTGTACGTCTCGATTTTTTCTATTTTTTATTTTAATTAGTTTGTCTATCTTTATTTTTTATTTTTTTTATGATCTTTCTCCTTTTGATTAACTCTCGCTTATGATCGTGGGTGAGGCTGCGGCAGGCTGAGGCTGAGGCCGAGGCTGAAGCAGACTGAGGTGAGGCTGTAATGCAGGAGCTGAGGCTGAGGCAGGCTGAGGCTGAGGCTGAAGCAGGCTGATGCTGAGGCAGGCTGAGGCTGAGGCTGAGGCAGGCTGAGGCTGAGGCAGGCTGAGGCTGAGGCCGAGGCTGAAGGCAGACTGAGGCTGAGGCTGAAGCAGGCTGAGGCTGAGGCTGAGGAGGCAGGCTGAGGCTGAGGCTGAGGCAGGCTGATGCTGAGGCAGGCTGAGGCTGAGGCTGAGGCTGATGCAGGCTGAGGCTGAGGCAGGCTGAGGCTGAGGCCGAGGCGAAGGCAGACTGAGGCTGAGGCTGAAGCAGGCTGAGGCTGAGGCAGAGGCTGAGGCTGAGGCTGAGCAGGCTGAGGCAGGCTGAGGCTGAGGCTGAGGCTGATGCCAGGGTGAGGCTGTGGCAGGCTGAGGCGAGGCTGAAGGCAGGGACTGATGTTGAGGCTGAAGCAGGCTGAGGGCGAGGCTGACGCAGGCTGAGGCTGATGCAGGCTGAGGGTGAGGCTGAGGCAGGCTGAGGCCGAGGCTGAAGGCAGACTGATGTTGAGGCTGAAGCAGGCTGAGGGCGAGGCTGAGGCAGGCTGAGGCTGAGGCAGGCTGAGGCTGAGGCTGAGGCAGGCTGAGGCTGAGGCTGTGACTGCGACTGCTGTTGCCACTGCGACTGC